CGCTCTCATTGCAACATGCCAACAAATACATGCCAGCCTCTATCGCCGCTGAAGGCAATGGGGTAAACTCTAAACCCTATATATAATGCTAATAATGCCTATAACGTATTCCATATACACCCTAAAGCCCTAAACTCATCAACCCAAACGCAGGAGAACCTCAACCTGCCGTCGCCACTCGCGGCTTCCCAGCCCTAGTCTCTAGTCTCATCGCCAAGGGCGCCGGCAAAGTTCGAGTGCTGCACCTCCTGCCATGCCGGCCACCTTTGAGGGTTAGGATTCAGGGTTACCGACGTTGGGGGTTGAAGGTTACGAGATGGAGGGACTAAAGACGGCTCAGGGTTTTAAGGGCTTCGGGATTGGGCGGGCTCAAGGGCTTAGGCCTTAGGCCTTTACACGCCATGGTGCCTCACAGGTATGTCATGGCCTGTTCAGGAGGAAGCCTCAAGGCGCAGTGGCCTCCAGACTGCTTGCAGTCTTGCTACGTGCTGTCCTGGGCACCTTCATTTTGGTCCGCCTGACAGGCCTGCATCGAGGTCTGAGGCTTTGTGTTGAGGTTCTGCTGAATAAGGCGACCGATTCTTACTTACACTATGGATGGCGCAGTACTTGCACCTGCGCAACTTACCAAGATGAATATTATTCACCTCAAATCACTCCGCCGAATCTTTAAGTTCAAGTCTTCTTCTTATCATCGGATTTTTGGCTCTTCTACAGCACATTGTTCCAATGAATATCTCGCAGGCCTCGCCTTCTCTTCGCGTCAAGTCCCCACTCCCTCCCAGTTGCATTCCCAACAGCGTCTCCAATTATTGATCCCGCCGCCTTACAATATTAGGCTACTTTCATGGGCCACCACGCCTACCGACATGTCTCCTCTCACAACAGGGCGGGACGCCCACGCCCGCATAGGGCTGAATCATGCCTCACTGAAGCAGTGCAGCGTATTGATGTATATGGCTTCAGACTCCTCCTTCACATGCGGACATACATAATGCATTGTGCGCTATACTTATAATACACCACATGCAGCAGGCCCACCGCGCAAGCTCTCTTATGAGAATGGATAACACTCCTCTGTACTGCAAGTCCAGCCGCACTGCCAGAACCGAGACAGATGGAGAACTCTCGTCCCTCTCGTCCATAAGCGCCGACCTAACAGGAATGCACAAATTAAGATCCCGAGAATAGTTCACTTTGGAACACCAATCGGTGCTGAGGGGCAACAGACACCTGTGCTGCGCGTGCGAAAAAAAGGCAACGAAACTTCCCGCTTAAATCGAAAGCGGTCACAGCTCCTAGCCCTTGACAAAGGCCCGCCGCCGTACTACTCACGAAGTTCAGGAGAGTTTGATCTGCATAGCAGGAGTTTCGCTGTGGCCAGAATCTTATGGCGTCACGAAACTACCAACTCACCCTCGACATGCTGAAGATTCAAAGGCTTTGAGCTCTGAAACGTTCACCAGACCCCCGTAGGACATAATCCACGCCTGCCAGGTGCAAGCACTCCAAGTCGCGAAACCCCGTGTCGAGGCGCACTGGAGCCTCCACGGCAGGAGCCTCCTGTCCGCATTTCGCGCAAGGGTTTTGGAGCTTTCCTTGGCGAGCCGTCAGATAAATCCCGGGCCCTTCCCAGACCCCGCAACCGCCGCGAAGAGCCTTGAGCATTTCGCTGGATTGAACTGACCTCGAGGTCGGGGTGGACAGCGCTCACACCGAGCTAACGGCCATCATCGCCAAGCTCAAAGACCTCTCTGGCCAGGAAGCGTCGGTTGTCGACTTCGGGTTTCAGGGTCTCCCTGTCCTCTTCCCTGCGTGACAGCAGGAGCGGGTCATGGCTTGTAAGCACTGTTGGCCACCGTCCAGGAACTCGTCGATGCTTTCGCAAAGGAAGCCCAGACACGCAGCGACTGCGGCTCCTACGCCCAGGCCCGGTGCACGGAGACATCGGTGGCATCGCAAGTGAACGATATTTTTTAAGGCTCGGCTTTGGAAGTAGGTCACAGACTCCAGTTGAGTTGTCCAGTCCCATACCACTGTGGTACCCTGCTTTCCCGTCCATGCTACTGTGTTGACCTGTACAGTGATGCCAAGATCTCTCAGAGGAGACGGGCAATCTCAACCTCCCGGACACACTAAAAACAGGAGAGAAATGAAGCCTCTCTCAGCTCCTCTGAGCTTTCTCGACCAACCCACCTTTTTAGCAAAAGTCGCCAAAGAGAGCCGAGGCCTCCCCCTAAACCCTAAAAGCCCCAAAAACCCTAAAACCCCTAAACCCCAAACCCCAAACCCTGAAAAAGGCTTAAAAATGCTGAGAAACCCGAAACCCTAAACCCGCTCCCGTCCCTCCCAAATGCGCCTGTCCTCGGCTCAGGGAGGCGATCTGGGCTTCTTCGGGAAGGGGGAGATGCAGAAGCCCTTCGAGGCGCGGCCGGGGCGCGGCGTGCACACCTTTTTAAAAAACGAGGGGGTGGTAGGGTGGGTGTTTGTTTTTGTCGGGCTCTTTGCGGTTCTCGAAGCTCCACAGAGCTTTTTTGTGGATTGTTTGGGGGCTTCCGCCCCGGGGCCCCATCAAAGGCTTTGGGACACTTGCACCCCCTTGGCAGTCACGAAACCGAGTGTAGAAGTCAGGCACATGCCCGAGCCCTAGCCCTGGCCGCGGAAGATCGTTTTTGTTCATTCGAACCTTCCCTTTTTCCGGAGCTTCACACATCGACGGGCGCATGGTGCTCGAGGTGTGAAGGCTTCCGACTTGGAACGGTCCAGTCTACACTCGGTGTCGGGTTCCCTTGCGTCTTGTCTGGTTCGGACAGTATCGATGGATCATGAGGATCCTCCTTCGTGTGGTTGCGAGCATGTCTTAGTCACTTAGTCTTGGTTCCTACTGAGCTCGCCGGCTATCTCTGCCCTGTTCGAAAGCGTTCCCACACTGGCTCCAGGAAGCCTCCTATGCCCTCGCCGTCGGCAGCATGAGCCCCATCATCGACACGGACAGCGGTGCTGTCAAGACATGCAGACTGCCTGGGAGCTGCTATCGAGCTTCAGATTACTTAGTTTCAATCTGAGCTATGGTGCTCCAGCCCCCAAAGACGGCATCGTCAGCAATCGATTTAGTAGCCGTCGGCGTGACCGCTGCGTAGTGATAGGTGCTACTGAGCCCACGTGTGCTAGGTCCATCGTACAATTGTCGACCTGCTGCGAGGATAGCGGAAGCCACATCATCCTCCGTCTGCTCCTGATTTTGGGCTGCAGGACTTATGGGCAAGTGGGATCAGCATCCTTGTGCTGTTGTGTCGTGGGGTTGGGAAATGGAACACGCCGCTGCCTTCTTGATTCTTGAAGCATTCGTACCAGCATGGCATCCGACCTGTCTTGGCCAACATAACATACAGAGTCGACTTTTGTTAGCGGTTCACTGGTTCAGGGCTGGAAAAAGCACATTTGTCTCGATCGTGGTCGAGAGTCGAGGGTATGCATCCTTTTTTGTGGCAAAATTCGCAAAAGCCAGGCAGTTGATGCCGGTTGTCTCTCAGTAGTTTGACCTCGCGTGCTCCGTCACTGTATCTGCATGACCGTATGGCAGGCTGCACTTTCAGATCTAGCTTGACAGTTGCGGGAACATCATGCCACAGAAAACTACCAAGGCATCGCGTGATTCGGCAGATGGAAGCGTGGCTGAGAATGCTTCTGCGTCAAGGCCCAACTAGAGATAGCTCTCACCCGGTCAAGATTGCCAAAGAGAGACATGTACGCAAGAGTCACCAAGCCGAGACATCTCGGCTCTACCGGACCGGAGCGTCCGGCCTTGACCTCCTCCAGAAGCGAAGAGAGGGAAAATGGGCAAGGCTTGCAGGCCCCGGGAATGGATCCTCTCGTGTCTGGCAGCTGTTAAATGTTTTTCGTCGCCGCGTTTGAGGACTCTTCGCTACACCGTCGTGTCGCCGCAAGCAGCATATGAAGCCCCCAAGCTCTGTCGCCTGTGAGCGCAGCTGCCAGAGATACATGCTCGCTACATGGGTAAGATAGCACACTGATCAGTCCTGCTCCCTGCTAAAGAGATTGACGGCTGGACGGCAGGAATTTGGGATTCCGTGCATGACGGCGTTCGAGTGTGGGGGGTTTAGGTCAGTGGGTGTCGTTTGTGAACCGCGAGTGGGATGCCCCTGCAGCTTGCGGTGCATGCATGCGTGAAGCTGCCGCATTCGCAGCCCTGAAACTGGAGCCACCGTATAGGTATGCTGTTTACCTACCACCATAGAATCCTTGGTGGCCTCTTCTGTTCGTGTCGAATACGTAGCTGAAGAAGACACACCCAAGCCGCGCCCAAAAGGCAGCTGGAAAGACTTTCGCGTGTGCCTGGCTCAGCACTTTGTTACATGACATCATGGTCATCATGAGTCTTGTTGTCACAATCGGCAATGATGGTGCTGGCAGCAACCATCATCGTCGCCGTCGTCGTAGTGGTAATACGAATAGTGGCAGCAGTGGAAGTAGAATCAGTTTCAGCAGCGACAGCATGACTAGAGTCGATGGGTAAGCCTGCATATGAGTTTCACAGTGTTGTCTATCTTAATGTGACTGTTGCAATTACATCCAAAGGTCCTTAGAGGCAGAGGCACCCTCCTGCGATGGACGGCGAGACATGCGCTCTGGGCGAGAGCTCTGCCTCTGCACCTGCGCCTACCAAGGTGCCTTTGGAGGGTCAAGATTGCTGCTGAGGATTTCAACGGAGTTGGGTTAGGACAGGACTCCCAATTCGTGAGATTGCAAACCGCTTGGGCCGCTTCGAGCCCAGTTTGGATGCGGATTTCTTCCTGAAGAATTGCCCTAAAGGCCCTTGTCTCACAGCCCGTGCTCGCATGCTGGTGTAAACATGTGGCAGTGTGATCTGGCAGCTACAACCGAGTTTCGCGGCTAGCCCCGTTCCCCTCGATCAACCCACTCTCAGAGGATGGTTGAGATGGCCTGCCCTATAAGGGCGGGATTTGCAATGATTGATCTCGATCCTCGCCTAAGCATGTTTGCTCAGAAAAATCGAGTTGCTTGTATCGCAGCACGAGGGCCTTCTCTGACTCAAGGGCTTCCTGACACCTCTTTCCATCGCAAGCAGGTGTAGAACACCCGCCAAAAAAATCTGCCCAACCCTCAACCTTCTGAGGGGCACAAAGCCCATCCTGAAGACCTGGAGGCAGACTGTCGCTCGTGGAGCATCCTCATGTCGCTCAAGGTGGGCCACCCGAAGTGCTGCCTGAGTGACTGAATGATTTAGTGTGCCGTGTGCCGTCGCGGGTGCTAAATCCAAAACATGCAGGCGATGGGCGGAAGTAGCGGTACAGGAGCTTCAATAGGCGTGAGAAACGGAGCCGGAAGAGCGTGCAACAGACTCAATGCCCCATATGACAAAGCTTCTTCGGATCTCGCTGAAGAGTTCGCGCGAGCCTCGGTTCTAAAGTAAGTAGATAAAGTGGTCACTAGTCTTTCAGAAGCCTGTAGAAACACTAGCAAGCGCGGTTCCATCCTGATGGTCAGTCGAGCCGTAGGATATGGAACGTCTTCTTGAAGCCTTTGAGGGACCTTCGTCCTTCAGGAAGGCCCTTACCAGGCTTTAGAGCAAGCGCTGCAAGGGCAAAGAAGGTCCTCCAGGCTCGAGCACGCTTCCGCTGTGCTGGCTGAGGCCCTTGGAGCAATGCCACATCTTGAGCTGGAATAGAAGTATTTTGGTTTTGCGTAGTTGCATCTAGCTGCAACTTGTTTTGCCTTGGCAGTGAATTCTGGACGTACTTACAGTTGCTACTGTGATTCGGCACATACGAATCATGAGGGTAGGACGGGAAGCTTTTCTTCACCAGGCGCTGCTGGGATTCCTGAGCTACATTCTCTCTTGGCGCCTCGGTCGACATGTTCGCCAATAGTCCGAGGAGAAGTGAGCGTGATGACAACGACGACAAAGACCAGTCTTCACCCTGTGCTTCTGAAACGCTGATACTGGTTGAAGAGAGCTTCTTTAAGGTGTTGCTGCCAAGCCATCAACCTAACCTCGGTTCAGACTCAGAGGGAAGTGTGGCCTGGGGCTTTTTATGTTAGGGCGCATCGCGTTTCTTCAAGTGCAATCTCGGCCAACTGCCTTCCGCTGCATGGGTGTTTCAAAACATGAGGGAAGAATTGAAATGGCGGCTTGGCGCTGGCTCGAGCATTATTGCAGATTTGAATGCGCACCTTTCTTTACTTGTCCTTGCCGTATTATTGATGTTCATGTTGTGAACACTGTTGCCTACGCGAGTAATGGCATTGAGCCACGTAGCGGTGCATCTTTGATGTTGCTATTGCTTTCGTGCCAGCATTCTTGACAACGCAGCACTTCATGACAGATGTGAGCATTCTGTCGGTTCTGCCGGTGAGGATGACTAAAAAGAAGAGGATGATGATGACGCTGAGGCTGGGGGCGAGGGGCTGAGGCTGAGGCTGAGGAGGCGGAGGAGGAGGAGGAGGGGGGAGCGGGAGGGGAGGGGGAAAAGAAGAGGGGGAGGAGAAGGACGGCGACGATGACAACGACAATGATGACAATGATGATCTGCGACTGCCAAGGCTTTCTGTGCAATTGGGATCTCTGTTTCTGGGGGGGGGGGGGGTTGTCTGTTTCACGAAGCTGCCACCGCTTAATAACTGAGGCAGTCGATGATTCCTATGTACCTAGCTTAAGGGCCCCTCTTGCGTGAATCCAAGCCGCCCAAGGATATGGCAGCTCTTCTGGAGGTTGTATGTGAATCACAAGAGGAGGGTGGTCCTGGGAGACTGGACGGACCGCAGAGCGCTCAAAGAAATTTCGGGTTTCAGATTCAGATCGGTTCAGGAGAGGGGTACAACAGCGTCCTACTCAAGCCCACATGTTACTTACGACGTTTATGAGCAACGCCACATGGCATCCCTGCTTGCTTGGCCTTTCGGTTTGCGCTGCCCAGCAGTGTTGAGGTCTAGGGGGAGAAGTGAAGGTTTTGGATGTGATTTCGTAGCTGTTCGGCAGTCGCGTGCACTGGGACCAGAGGGCCCAGGATTGTAGGAGTAAATTCTATCATGAAGACTGGTTCACATCACTCTGCGGTTGCTGCCGCCACAAACTCGCGAGTCTTCAGGGTAAGGCCGCTTCGTCATTGAAGCATGAGCGGGGGTCAAGCTCGGATTTTGTTCGCGGCTGCTCCTGCGGAGAAGTACCTCACCACGCTTTATCGCAGATGCAAGCCCAAACCGAGAAACACACTGCACGCCAAGCCTCAACCCTGAGCCCACTTCACCCTCACCTGCCTTGTGTGCGAGGAGCTCGAGTTCTCGCCGGAAGAGGTCCAGCGCGATCGCGAGGCTGTGCTCAGCGCCTCGTGCAAATTGCAGCGGGGTTCCGAGGATCAGCCCTGTTTCCCAATCGAGAAGGGTGTGATGGGCTTAGAAGTATAGACCTCAAAGACCTCAAAGACCGCAGCGAAAGCCTGCAAAGGCCGAAATCCGAACCAGCGCAAGCTCGGAGTGTCGAGAGAACGGGGGCCCCTGCAGCCCGGACTTCTCAGGTGCCGTGAGACAGGACTGGAAAGCCTTGCAATTCGCCTCGGAAGAGCTCCAGCTGGGGCCCCGGAGCCCCGGTTCCCAAGAGTTTTCAGGGGGCGCTTTAGCAAGAAACTCAAAGCAAGGCGCAACTGAGTGCTGGTGGCAGCGATCTTCATGTGGTACCAAAGTCTAGCGCCTTCACTTTCGAAACGGTGAGGCTAGCTGCGTGGCTTTCTCTTCGCTAGCCGTATGCACTGCATCCGTTGTGACTTGTCCGGGCTGTCCAAGCTCATCTGCAGGGCAGACCGCGAAATCGTCGAGGAGGCTCTCCGACAAGGCCGCAAGCACGTCGGGCTTTGGGGCTTTGGCGGCGTCAGGGCTTCGGCAAGTCGCGAGGCTAGCAGGGCCCGGCCCTACCCCATTAGTAGGGTGGAGACACAGAGACACAGAGCCCCAAGTCCTGCACGACAAGGCATCCTCTGTAACGGGGGAATCCTTCAGCTCCCAAAATTGCATGCGACTTTCACGACGGCTCAGCAAAACCCCTGCCAGCCCTTCCCCCCACCTCAATGCCCCGAGACTGGCACGCGCTGCGCCACGTGTCGAAGTGCCTGCGAGCAGATCGGACTCTCATGGCCGCCGCAGTGCAAAAGTCCAATGGCCATGTGGTGGCAAGGGGAGTGCTTTGTGCATTTGTTCAGGGTCGGCGGAATCCTTCGAGCGTCCGAGCCTTCCGTCGAAGTCGGCGTGTGGGAGTTCGTGGTGGACATGGCCAGTTAAGAGTCATAATCCTCGCCGAAGCAAGACAACCGCCCAAGAAAGGAGGGTAGACCACTGGCCTAAGCGAGCTCCTCTGAGGATGGGCTTTGGAGTTCGCCGCGGAGGAGCTCTACCGCGACCCTGGCCTCCTCCAAGAGGCGACCAGCAGGCCGCTGCGGGCCTTTGCTACCCCAGCGAACGTAGTCTGAGCCCTAGGCTTCCAGCCTTTCTGAATAGAAAGACGACACAGCAGAGAAGACTGATGCGCGCTGCACTGGATGCGTGCTTCAATTGCATCCGCCATGGCTTCCTGCCACCTTTGCGAATCGTGCTGTTCGCTCTCGTTGGTTTGTCTGAGTCGTCACTTTTGTTCTCAGTGTTGGCCACGATGAGAAAACAGGAGCCGCTACCGCAAGTTCAGCTAATTGTCTTGTTGTCATGTTCGGATTGGCTTGCATAGCAATACAACAAAGAGGCCACTCGCTGAAGCTTGGCAGGCTCGGGGGACGCCTTGGCCTGCCACTGTCCCCTGTTGCAGCCCTGGTGCCTGTGGACGCCACAGGCCGGGAACCAGCATCCAGAGAGTTTGCGAACCCAAGCCCCCAAATCTCGAAGATGTGTTGTGTGCAGAAGTTGCCGTTCGCAGTGAACGCCGGTCTGCGACTTGCACTGGGGCGGTTCATCCGACCTTCAGGGATTGCTTTTCTGTCACCAGACGATCATGTCAGCAGATCTCCGCGTAGTGCGAAGTCTTCTGGAAATTGCCATCTCGACAAGGACGGTTGAGGAGAATTGAGCGAAAGGTTCAGATCTCCCGCGGTAGAATGGACTTGGAAGGCATTGCAAACTTGTGAACCCCATGCTGTCGTGAGGACGCGTGATCCTAGCTCCGGGAATGGACCCTTGGCTTGAAGGAATGAGATCAAGGTTGCTACATTGCTACAAAAGGGGGTGAGTTTTTTGTGGCTCGGGCCCACATCTATGCAATGTCGGGCCGCTCCGCCCAGTACCAAGCCGCCGTGTCGCTGTTTGAAGCGGAGTCCTAGACAAGCCTGGAGTGCAGCTTGCGCTATTGCTTGGAAGTCAAGTTGTGTTGCCCAGAGCCCGGGTCTAAATCCCATTCTTGAAAGCTCATGCGCGCTGTTCAACTCCTTCTGCCGCAAGGACGCCTCTGCAATCTTTGGGAATGCTCGGATCCAGGCTGAGGAGCGTCTCGGTGGAAGACGTCCAGAGTCCGTGGGCTGAATGCCAAACTCGGGCTTCTGGTCTCAGGATTTCGTGATTCACGCTGTAGCGGTAGCAGCACTTGCGGACTTGCAGCTTCTCTTGCGTTTCCGAAGCCGAGGCCCCAAAACGTCCAAGAAGAAACCGGCGCCCTCGACGAGTCCTTCGACACATCGAGGGAAGAGCCGTCTGCCGAGGAGCCCCAGGAAGCTTCAGCCGGAGAGCCCTGCGAGCCGCAGGAAGCTCCCGTATCAGCGAAGGCGCAAGACGACGTGCAGGAAGCTTCCGACTCAACTGAGTCCTTTGGCGGAGAGCTCCCGATCAATCTGCCGGAACCGTCAAATGATGACCAGGAGGTGCCAGTCGGCGGCACTTGCCGGACCGTTGTCGAAGCTTCCCCAGTCGATTCCCAGGAGCCTGCAGAAACCTTGATTGCGCGACTGGCACCCGCTGGCCCATTGCGAGTTCGACCGGGGGACACCACCCTGGAACTGACAAACGTGGACGGGAAAGAGCTTCCTGAGAAGTTGACGGAGCTTGATCTCCTCGATACTTTGCACAGTGATCCTTTCCAGGTGACGAGATCCGATGCTGCGCATGCCGCGCGGGAAGAGCTGGCTCAAAACACAGAGCGAGCGGAGCCGCGGAACACCCTGCCGGAAGAGCTTCTAGCAGAAGAGACCACAGCAAGTCTTGACCCAGATTGAAATCTGCGAAAATGGTGCGATGATCTGCATTGATCGAAAGCCTTCCTTACCCAGAAGGCCTCAGATACTAGTTTCCATTTCAACTGCTGGCCTACTCAGCTGTCACGGGTCAGAATCCTGCGCTTATACTCGCAGGCGCATTTTGATGAGCCATCATGTAACTTTGCAGTAAAGCAGATTGGAGTGCTGTACCCCGATGACAACAATCAACGTCCCGATCGCTGCCAATGCTCATGGAAGCACTCCTCAACAACTACAGCAACAGCAGCAACATCAACGACCACCACCCCAACCACCACGACCACAACCATGACCACGACCGCGACGGCGGTGAAGACGACCACGACCAAGACGAGACAATCAACGACCGAGTCCACGACGACGATGACAACGACACCAACGATAGCAGCAACCACCACCGCGATAATATTGGTATGCATAAGAAGAAGGGTTAGTAGTAGCAAGACTAAGACTACTAATAATGGTGATAGTGGTGGCAATATAATATTATAAGTAGTGAATGGGCCGTCATCTCTCACCTGTAAGTAAGTGTCGCGGAACTGGCCCTAGCCATAATCGCAACACGAGTTTCCTTTTTGCTACGGCTGCAGCTATGAAGAGCAATCATCACCGTCAAGGGCGCTGAGTGCGACCGCCTTCCACCGGCCCTGGCTCGAAGCGACGGGGGAAGGGTGGGCCTCGAACATCGGGGGCGACGCTCACCTGAACTCACTTTGGCTGCTTAAATCCACTGGTGTTGGGAAGAACAGGGAGATTCCGAAAAGGCTTGCTTGCGAGGTTCCGAGGAGGGAGAGCCCGCAGGCGGCTTGAGAGATGTGAGGAGAGCCCCCCCTCCTCCCGAGTCCAACTTGGAGAGCTGCCCTAAAACCTAAACTCAGCTTTCAGCTGGGCCTTGTGCCGGCAAACCGGAGTCTCAAAGGAAGCAAGCTGCTTTTTTTTGTCTCCTTTTGCTCGGCTCCCAGGGCTTTTCTTGGCTACGGCTACTATCGCTCCGTCCTTCAGAGCTTTTACTTTTGTGGGGTGGGAGAGCTTCCGGAAAATTTATGGCACTTATGGCAAGGACCAAGACGTGCCCAACATGGTGGGAGATTCTGTTTTGAGTGATTCCCTTCTAATTCTAGGCTGCTCCTGGGCAGCGCATTCCCTCCTAAGAAGCACATGCAATGGTACGGCAGCTGAAGGGTATCTGTGCTATGTCAGAATCATTATCATGACGTCAGCATCAATCTCGCGATCGCATCTGCAGTGCCCATGTTTTCGAGAATGTGAGCGTTTGAGTGCAGAGCAGCCGCTCTGTCCATTGCTTCCGACTTCCAAGCAACGACGGTCCTTTGGCGTGTTCTGTTTGTGGTGACTTGAGCTAGACTCTGACTGCGTCCCCCCTCGCCCGTCCCTCAAGATTGAGGCTATGAATGACATGAGCCTGCCGCCGCCCCCTCCGCCGCCTCCCCCGCCGGAGGAGCAGGAGACACCCCACAGCTTGGGTTCCGGTCTTCCGATATCCTTCAAGGAACGTATCACCATTCCTGCGTCTGAGACAATCTGGATAGAGGGGTTCACAGAGCTGGCTCAGGCAATTTCTGAAAAGGTTCGGGTTTAGTGTGTGGTCGGGTGTGGGCTGTCCTCCGGAGCTACCATTAACGGCATGGTGTTAGTTTTCGGAGAAGCTACAAGTTGGCCTCTGCACGGATTCATTTAGTTGCAAGCCTTTTGGCGATCTTCCGCTTCCGTGAACCCGGAACCTGGATTCGACTCAACACACTAGTTTTGTTTGGCCACACCGAACACTATGCGAAGTCGATACTTCAATGCAACACGGACAGGCGTTTGATGGAAATCCCTTCGGCTCACTTGTGTCGCGGCTGCAAGCGGGAGCTAGCCGAGCCGTTCGCACCTAACACAAGAATCAGAGGCCTGAACCGTTCGCTGCTCCTAGAAGGAACCGAGTCGACGAGAGTTTCATCGACACTCGAAACGAGTTCTATGAGTCGAAGGTTCGTCACTGTTGTGTTCGCTTCGGTCCTCCAGCTGCAGGGCAGGGTGCTGGACAACCACGGCAGATCCTCTAACTTCTGATTCCAAGCTCTTGAGGTCCAGCCGGCGCCCCTGATCTTGAGGCGCAGGGCGGAGATGCGGGATGGGTGCAGGGTTTGTTGACTCGGCACCGAAGACTGGGCTACGAGCACATCAATATGGAACCCGAACAGCCAGTGAGCATCGTGAGCGAACACGGTCCCCCGAAGCGACGGCAGTCTTGTGTTACGAGTGTGGGGTGTTTGCGCTTTCTCTAGGATGGAGCGGAGACACTCGGCATCAGTATTTGTCGGCTTGGGGGAGAAGCGGGCCACCGATCACGAGTCCAAAGGATTCACTTCTAGTTCTACAATTCTACAAATCGCGAGGCACGGTAAGCACAGTACCACCATGTACCATGCAACAGCCGAGAACTTTGGTCGAGAGGTGCAAAGTGGTTCTTTTGGGAGACTCTGCGTCCGGCGCTGCTCTCAGCAGAATGCTTCCAATGATTCAAGAAATCTCCAGAACTCCGTGGTTGGTTGCATTTGGAGGAAACATGGGGAAAGCTTTGGCAAACAGTTTGCAAGCAAGAATAAGAGCAACGGTTAATTGTCGGTTTAGACAGCGCACGATTTTAGCCGCTTGTGTCTCTTGTTACGGGACTTCGTTTACGAGGATTTCTGTTTTGAAATCTGCGGATAAGTGCTCTTCGCGTGAAGGGGAAGAAGAGACCCGAGTGCAGGATCAGACGTGCGACATCGAAGTGTGCTTTCCACATTCAGCGTCAAAGCGGCAAAAGCCAGAAAACCAGAGGCTCATCCGAACAAAGCCGGGCACCCCAACATGGGACTTTGCTGTCTCTCTTTGGAGCACAGAAGCTGCAGACGCGTACAGGAAAGACCTCCTTGGCACAAGTTTTCCAGGCAGGGCCCTGGAGTCCGGACGCGTGGGGAGTCGTTCCTTCGGGCTGATGCTGGTGCTTCCCCTGTCACCGATTTGGGCCGGTTCTGTGGCGGGAAGCGGGCAGGAGGTTTCGAGGCTGAGTGTAGGAGCGGCTTCACTGGCTTTGCCGTGAGTTTAGGCTCGGGTGCTTTTGGTCTTGGAAAGCGGCTCAAAACTAAACCTTCTAGTCTTGCGATGTTGTGCCCAGGCAAGACCACGCCTTCTGAGCTCTTTAACACAGCAGTTCTGTGCACTCCAATGATCTTTGGGCCTCGATCAAAGCGTGCGGACAACCACGCAATCAGCCGAATGGTTGTTGTCCTCAGTCGCCGTTTCGATCAAGCCTGTCAGTTACAGTATATGAAGCCACACGCTATAATATAGTTCAAAACACCCCCTCGCATGCATCCTAGCGGGTCCAGGGAGACCCAGGGACCTTGGACTCATGTCCCAGGGTGGCGCGCAAAGCTTTCCGAAGAACTACAACATGACGATCGGCATCGACTTCCTCGTCAAAAGGGTGGCCGGCCGGGAGCGCTTCCGCGGTGGGTTTGCAGGGCCTAGTCCCCCTCTTGTGTGGCAGGGCTGAGAGCCAAGCTCCGTAAGCTGCTCAAAAGCCAGGGCTTCGAAGGAGACATCGTCTCGCATTCCATCAGCATCTTCTAGCAAGCCGCCCGATTCAGTTCTGCAGCTACTCCTCCGGTCGGCATCAGCGATCTCTTTGGTCATCCCCAAATAAGAAAACACATGCGGACTCCTCAATGCCAGGTGAGTATACCAGACACCAACGTCGTCGTGGAACTGTGACTTGGGCTGCATCTCTGTGCAGGAAGTGGTCCAGAGTCTGAGCGGGGGTCGATATTCGAGAGTGTTTGCGCATAGTAGCGTGTTCGTGTGAGTTACGAAAGTTCCTGCACTTTTTCAGCAACAGCAGAGAGAGCACAACGACAAAGAGCAGGAAGGCTAGGAAAAGGAGAGAAGGAGGAGGAGGAGGAGGAACAGGAGGACACCAGCCAGCAGCAGCGCAGTAGAGTAAGAGCAACGGGGGGTAGAGTACCCTCAGCCCGATTGCACAGCGACAATGCTCAAGTATTGCAACGACAAACACAACGTCAAGGATGGTAGTGACAGTAAAAAGAGTAATAACATCAGTTAAGTCTTTCAACTACCTGTTGCCACCACGGATCTAGAGTCCGTGACCACGGCATTTCATCAGCAGCACTTTGAAGATGTCGGGCACGTCGACCCTGTACGCCGGCTGATGCACAAGCATTGCAGTACATCGCTCACGTTGTTCTAGAATCGGTCCCGAAATCTGCATCCTCGCGAGCATACGACTTCGTCTGGGACCTAGGACAGGGGACAAATAACAATATGTTTGCGGGTTCCTGGCAGGTACATTGTGGACTGTGGCGGCTTCGCTGTTTGCCAGGTTCGGGGCCTAGGAGCTCAGAACCGAGGTTTGGAAAGCCTGCGGAGATTCAGCTCGACCCTACGCGTTACACCCTAAGCCGAACACAAAGCCTTAGTCCCAAAACCCGATTTGGGAGACGGGGCAGGACAGGGCAGGGGATTCACGGTTTTTGTCCCGGGCGCTCAGTGAAGTATCCAGGTCCAGGCCGCAGGATCTGATTCAAGGGTTCGGCATAGTTAGTCATACTATTCCGAGTAGTACAGTACCACATACGCCAAAACCCGACCCTGATTATGAAGGCGCTTCTGTTCAGCGACCCTTTAACTGGAAACCTGGGCTTTTGATGCACCAGTCGCGGCCACACAGCTGCTCGGGTTCTGACGCTATGAGATCATATCGAAGCCTAAGTAGTTAGCACAGCTATTCTCCAGGGCTCCATGTTTGAATCATACTACAACATACCCCAGAGCCCTATTCCATGTACCAAGCCCCCAGACTAGATAGCATGTTGGAGACGGGCTGTCACATGTTATGGTACAACATTGCAACAGAGTATAGTTGTCTTTGTAATCTATTAGTACATGTGCACCAACCTGGACCTTAAATA